GGGCAGCCGGGTCCTCGGCCTGTGCGCCGGGCGGCGCTGACCCCGCGTCTGGCCCCGCCAGCCCCGGTGTTCCTGACCCAGCTGCACAACCAGGAGGTGCTGGACGGCTACCCCGTGAGCTTCGACTGCGTGGTGGCAGGCCAGCCGGCGCCCAGCGTGCGCTGGTTCAAGGACGGGCGGGTGCTGGAGGAGGATGACCACTACATGATCACGGACGACCAGCAGGGCGGCCACCAGCTCATCATCACCGCCGTGGTGCCGGCGGACATGGGCGTCTACCGCTGCCTGGCGGAGAACAGCGTGGGCGTGTCCTCCACCAAGGCGGAGCTGCGGGTGGACCGTGAGTGCCGGGGGTCTGCCTCTGGGGGGGCAGGGTTTGGGGGGTGCCCCCCTCAGTTCAGCAAGCCTCTGGAACCTCAGCATGCAGAGCTCGTGGCACCCGGTCAGTGGGCCGGGACGTGGCCTATGGGGCAGGAGCTGCGCAGGGGTCTGTGCTGGCAGTGACCCTGGGCCCACTCGGGAAGCTGCGAGTGCATCCTGCCCAGGGCCGTCCTTCCCCTCCCCAGTGACCAGCACCGACTATGACACTGCAGCTGACGCCACTGAGACCTCATCCTACTTCAGTGCTCAAGGCTACCTGTCCAGGTAGAGCCCCGTGGGGTGCTGGCCGCTGCCCGGCCTGGGATGGCCCCCGCCAGCCAGGACACAGACATGGCCCGGAGCTTGGCCCTCTGGTGGCAGCTGGCCCCCCTGCCCTCCACCTGCCTCGCCCCTCCTGGCCTGCCTGGCCCCTGGCCACTGCCCCTCACGCCCCCTCGTCTGCCCTCCCACCAGCCGGGAGCAGGAGGGCACGGAGTCCCCCTCCGAGGAGGGGCAGCTGCCGCAGGTGCTGGAGGAGCTGAGGGACCTTCAGGTGGCCCCTGGCTCGCGGCTGGCCAAGCTTCAGCTCAAGGTGAAAGGTGAGGTGGGCAGAGGGCCCCGGGCACCAGGGGCAGCAGGCGGCCAGGCAGGGCATCTCCAGGCCTCTCCATGGGCAGTGACTCTGCACGCCACCCCTGCCCAGGCTCCCCGGCACCCCGCCTCTACTGGTTCAAGGACGGGCAGCCTCTGGCTGCGTCTGCCCGCGTCCGCATGACTGACCGCAGGACGCTGCACACCCTGGAGATCCTCTCGGTCACCCGTGAGGACAGTGGCCAGTACTCGGCCTACATCAGCAACGCGCTGGGCGCTGCCTACTCATCCGCTCGCCTGCTGGTCCGAGGTGGGTGCCGGGCCGAGTGTGGGGCGCGGAAGGGCCGGGATCCGGCCTGCCTGGTGCGGGCCCCAGAGGCCCGCGCTGCCCGCGGGCAGGGGGCTATGGCCTGCAGGCCTGACTCGGTGCCTATTCCAGACCCCAGCGAGCCAGAGGAGACGCTGCCGTCAGGTGAGGCCACGGGACAGGAGGCTGGGGGTGCAGGGTGGGGACGGTGACGCCGGGGACCCCGCTGCTCTGCGTGGCTCACACAGCTGCCCCGGCCCCCCGCCCCCAGAGGTGCAGCAGCAGCTGGTGCCACCACGAATCCTGGAGAGGTTTTCGCCCAAGAAGGTGAAGAAGGGTGCCAGCATCACCTTCTCCGTGAGGGTGGCAGGTGCGCGACCGGCCGCTCGGAAACGCGCGGAACCAGCCCCGGCCCCCGGCTCCGAGAGGCGCGGGGGCCTCAAAGGGAGGGCGAGGGAGAGGAGGCCGCCGGGGACAGGGCGGGCTGGGATCTCCTGCCCCGGCGTGCTGGGGCGCTGGTGGGTAACTGTAATTAGCTTTCAGAATTTTTAATTTAGAAGCGGTCTAAGTAATCACCCCGCCCGGACTCTCTAGTGGGAGCCCTGGTGCTCGCATCCACAGGGCTCTGCTAGGTGCCTTTCGAAGTAGCCGCCACTGAGGTGTCCTGCAGCGTTCCGGGGAAGCGGCGACACTCACACGCTGAAGTCAGGCCGGTGGGCACAGGGGAGCCACACAGCGAGGGCCCCGGCGTCGTGGGCGTGGGTGTGGCTCGGAGACTGCGCAGCGCCGCAGACCGGAGCGGCAACCGCAGCGAAGTCCAGGGGCTCTGGCCCCGGAGCAGCGGCCGTCCAGCGTGACCCCCGCCCAGCTGGTCCTCCCGAGGGCATCTGCTTGATCCACCCCCTGCGTGCTCCCGGGCGCCCCTCTTCTTGCAACACAGCAGCGGGAGGCGCGTGGGCGGGACAGTGTCTGCTCGCCCCCACCGGCTGGCCGCCTTCCATGCAGGCATCTAAGAGCGTCATGGGCACCGCTCACGGCCTCACCATAGCCAGGACGCCTCAGCGAAGCGGCCAAGCCTCTCCCACTCCCGCCCCTTCAGCGTCAGAAGCCTGTCGTCACCTGCGG